ATTTCTTTCTATTTATAGTAGAGACGGGGTCTCGCTCTTGCTCAGGCTGGTTTTGAACTCCTGACCTTGAGCAATCCACCCGCCTCGGCCTCCCAAGAGCTAGGATTACAGGCGTGAGCCACAGCGCCCGGCCTTGTTTTTTCTTTTGAGACAGAATCTCACTTTGTTGCCCAGACTAGAGTGAGTGCCGTGGCATCAGCCTAGCTCACAGCAACCTCAAACTCCTGGGCTCAAGCAATCCTCCTGCCTCAGCCTCCCGAGTAGCTGGACTACAGGCATGTGCCACCATGCCCGGCTAATTCTTCGAGCAATCCGCCCGCCTTGGCCTCCTAGAGTGCTAGGATTCTGAGCGGTTTTTAATAGCTAACCAGTTATATGTTAAATAAATTATGCTTACTGTTTAATTTTTCCACATTTTCTTTGTATACTTCTTAGCATATGTATTAGGGTTCTCCAGAGAAATAGAACCAATGGGATAGAGAGAGAGAGATGCAGAAGAGATTTATTATGAGGTATTGGCTCCCACAGTGATGGGCTAAGAAGGCCCATGATCTGGCCAGGCATGGTGGCTCACACCTGTAATCCTAGCACTGTGGGAGGCCAAGGCGGGAAGGATTGCTTGAGGTCAGGAGTTTGAGACCAGACTGAGCAAGAGTGAGACCCCATCTCTACTAAAAAGTAGAAAGAAATTAGCTACACAACTAAAAATATATAGAAAAAAAATAGCCAGGCATGGTGGCACATGCCTGCAGTCCCAGCTACTCAGGAGGCTGAGGCAGGAGGATCTCATGAGCCCACGAGTTTGAGGTTGCTGTGAGCTAGGCTAATGCCACAGCACTCTAGCCAAGGTAACAGAGTGAGACTCTGTCTCAAAAAATAAAAAAATGAGAAGGCCTGTGATCTGCCATCTGCAGGGGAGGCCTGGGACAGCCAGTAGTGTAGTTCTTGTCCAAATCCAAAGATCTGGGGACCAGGGGAGTCAGTGGTGTCCCAATCTGACTTCAAGTGCTCAAGAACCAGGAGCACCCGTGTTGGAGGGCAGGAAAAGAGGGATGTCTCAGCCCAAACAGAGAGCAGATCTGCCCTTTCTCTGCCATTTTGTTTTATCTAGGACTTGAACAGATTGGATGATGCTCACCTTTATTGGTGAGGGATCTTTGTTCAATCCAACAGTTCAAATGTTAAACACTCTCACAGCCATGGTCCCAAATAATGTTTTGCGAGTCATTTGGGCATCCCTGAGCCCAGTCAAATGACACATAAAATTAACCATCATAGCATGTTTCTAATACTTAGGACTCAGTACTATATTTGCTACTTATTTCTTTTTTATTTTTTTATTTTATTTTTTTTGAGATAGAGTCTCACTCTGTTGCCCAGGCTAGAGTGAGTGCTGTGGCGTCAACCTAGCTCACAGCAACCTCAAACTCCCAGGCTCAAGCAATCCTTCTGCCTCAGCCTCCCAAGTAGCTGGGACTACAGGCATGTGCCACCATGCCTGGCTTATTTTTTCTCTATATATATTAGTTGGCCAATTAATTTCTTTCTATTTATAGTAGAGATGGGGTCTCGCTCTTGCTCAGGTTGGTTTTGAACTCCTGACCTCGAGCAATCTGCCCGCCTCAGCCTCCCAGAGTGCTAGGATTACAGGTGTGAGCCACCCGCCACGCCCTTATTTCTTTTTTAAAATCAACCACCGAGCTTCAAATAGCCCTCAGAGCTAAGCACCAGCACACCCTTCCTCTTAGAAATAATCTTGACCATCTTAAAGCATCAACATTTCCTACATGGAGAAGGCAAAGCCTGGAGACAAGCCTACTCAAATCCTGGACTTAACTCCTAAGCCTCAGAAGAAATTCACTGGGGAGGCCTTCAAATGTGGAGGGATGAACAGCTCCTTCCAAGTCTCAAGAAAATACCATTGCATAGCCCAGCAACTGTAAGGTATGTGAAGTTGTTTGTGGTCTGGTCCTGTAAGTCAGAATGCTATGGAAATTGATGGGAATATCTGCTCCTGTAAGGCTGTCGTGATGAAGGGGCCATCATTTAGATAGAGATGGCCCGGCTCTTTTGGTAAAGTTCTTAACAAAATATCATAACATCAGATATACTAAAACACACTCCTGCTAAACTTAGTTATCAGTGTTTTTAAACCTGGGATGAGAGAATAATATTGGTGGGGGAGGGGTTGTTTTATTTTATTTTTTGAGACAAAGTCTTCTTTGTCACCTGGGCAGTGGTACAGTGGTGTGATCATAGTTCACTGCAACCTCCTTCCTCCACCTCCAGAGTAGCTGGGAC